AATTTAGAAGTGTCATTATTGCCATATCTATAGTGCTACTGCAATTAATCTGATTTTAGATACAATTTAAAAGTGGGTTGTAAAATGCTCTGCTTATTTAGAGGAACAAAATGCTGCCGTATCTCTTCAAGTATGCCAGAAATGTGTAAACCTCATTTACATATGTAAGAAGAAAGGCTCACATTTGAAGTGGGGTGTACATTTTATCTTCACAACTCTATATGGAAGATCCTCTCATTTCTGTAGCTTGTTCTCATGTGTGGGACACAGGAAAGCAACCTGTCCTATTTCTGTGTCATCTTTTCCAAACTTGTAGTGAGTCATTCCTCAAACAGAAGTTTAATGGTAAAGTGCTGGTATGGACACAATCTGAGTTATCAGCCCGGAGTTATACCATTTTTTTTTTTCCATAAAGAGACTCCCTTAGGGTTTACCTTGGCAAGAAAAGCCCTACCTGCCTTGTAAATCCCAGTGGCCTCTCTAATTTTACTTCATAACTGTGACTGATACACAAACTTTTTTTAGAAAAGTCTCAGAGCCTTTGAACATTGAAAGACTGCCCCAAACTCTGGCATATGCCACTGTCCTCGGTTTTGCTGTATTCCCTTGAGATATATTTGCCAGGACCTCAACACAGTGCCCATGCATATCCAGTGCTGGGCATGGCCCTGGCACTGGGAATGCCTTTCTTGAACACAGCCTGGGACCTGGAGGCGTTCGAGATGGAAACAAAGTTAAGCAGTGCACTGGCTGTAGCATCCTTTCTCTACCCAAAGGTCTTTTCTTGCGTTTCCTAAATCTCCCCACTCCCTTACCCATATGTTCTGAACTCCAAAATGAAGCAGAACAACCATTTGGGGATAAAAATAGATAATGAGCTCATTAAATTTGCCTAGCAGCCTCAGACGCTGAAAGTGCAGAGCTCAGAGAACCATGCAGCAAGGAAGAAAAGGTCCGGGTGAGCCACCCAAGCGCTTTGGTATGGGTTGCTAGATGCTCCTCAGAGACAATGTGATCCCAGTCCCAAATAAATCCAGTAACACAAGGAACCCAGTCCTTCAGGTTCAGAAAAGCCTCAAATCCAGCTTCATTCTGGGGCCCATCACAGCTGAGGTTGTGTTTTGCAACATGCAGTGCCCATTTCTCGTAATGAAACGTAATGAAACAAAAACGCCCTAAGAGTTGGAGCAGGCGGAACAGTCTCAGCATCCCTGCATAGCAGCAAATGCTAATTGAGACTGCAGGGTGTCCCCACAGCCCAACAGCGGGCACAGGAAAAATGAGGCCCCCGGGGAAATGCCTGGTGTTCATTCCTATTTTCGCAAGAAATCCGCTGAAATCTTGAACATTAGGAAAGAGAGAAAAGAAGGGAAGAAAAAAAAAACACTTTGAAAAGTATCACCTACAGAACAACTTTCATCATTTACTTTTATTTCTGGAAGGGTCATATATGGAAGCAGAGCATTTGTATGGGCTTCAAAGTCAGCAGTTAGTTGCCATACAGCTGTGCTAAAACTATAGTTTTACACATTCTCTTTCAGCTACCCTTATTTTCCTTTTCTGTCCAAAGTCCATGAACTCATTGAGTGTGAATAAAGAAGGAAACTCTGACCAAAGTGCCGTGTTTTGGTGACAGTCACTGTTGGGATGTCTGTGCACTTTCTGGTGATTTCTGTGGTTTGGAGGCTGAATAAAGCCTGAAGGCAAATGGAAAATGTTCATCGGCCATGTAGGACACAAGAAAATTCCCAAATCTAGGCTGATCTTCCCATCAACGAGGGGCATGCAACGTGTGTGCATTCAGTGACAGTACGCTTTTTATTTGAGAACAGAATTTAAGAGGATTCCTTCCTCTGTTTGCAGGGGATACTGCCACGACAAACGCTATACAGGAGTGTGCCTCAATTTTTTTTTTTCTGATCCTTCCTTTTCTAAAAATATGCTTCAGTTTACTGATGAACCATAAGTTATTGACCTGTTTACTTGCTGGGTTATTCTCTGTTAAACTGCTAACGACTGCATCTAATTATTAATTACCAAGATTTTCCCCTTCGCTGTGCCAGCCAGTCTCAGCAGTCATTATTCTAATTCTTAATATCAAATCCACCCATTAGGGGACAATTCTTTATTATTATTATTATACATGGGTTCTAAGGTGGCCACCCACAACACAGTTTACTCTGGAAATGAGAAACAGGTAGTAAGAATTCCTATGCCCACACAGGAACGTAGCATTTCACATCACTGACCAAGAAATGTTCTGCTGCAGTGACCAATATGGAAGAATGGATTGATAACCCTCTGGGGAAACAGGATACTGTTGAGTTGCTGAAATGTGTTTCCTCCAGGAAGTGAATTTTCTTTTCCTTCCTCCTGCCAGCATAGACCAGAGTCCTGCATAGACCTTTGAGGTTTTTGAGGTTCTTTTCAACCTGCTTAAAAGTTAGTGACACCCAAGGAACTCCTTTGCTTAATAAAATACTGGTGCTTTTTTATTGAAAAGGTAGATATATATGTATATATATCTCCAAGCAATAAACACGCACAGGATTTAACCAGTGCCCAATAACTCCATCAAGGCTTGATCCTAATTCCAGCAAAATCATCTGGAAGATCCCTACGCCGCTCCAGAAGATTCAAGGTCAGGCTCCACAGTCAAGCTATCAAGTTTGCCCATTCCCAGGGCCAATATTCCATTCTCAAAATACAACAGAGTAAGCATATCAGATCATAAGGATGTTATTTATAGTCTGTCATAAGATGCATGAAGTTGTGCAGCAGAGGTGCCTGAATTCACAATATAAACTACCTCAAGACAAGAAAAATGTTGGAATGGTTACTAGCAGCAGGGGGAGGGCAGATAAGATCAGAGGAACGATATCAGATTTTTCACCAACTGCAAGATACAGTTTTCTACTTTTAGGAACAAATTTCATATTGCAAACCTTTTTATAAGGACTTATTTCAGCTTCTATGTATCATTGTTGGGGGAAAACATTCAGGTCTTACAAGTAACATTTAATTAGCTGAGAACAGATTTTATTCAAAACAGTACTCCTAAAATAAAATGTGGGCTCTGCTATTGGTTTATAAATGTTAGAGAGTGAAATCATGCAGCACTTTCCATGGCAATTATCACTTATCGCCTCTGCATGGTAAGCAATATTTTTCTCCTTGCTTCACAGATGAGAAAACTGAAGCAGAGACAATTCCTCAATTTGTAAAGATGTTTGACTGCTATAGAAGTGGATCAATAAAATGAAACAGAGCAAAACAAAACGAAAAAGGCTTTGTCAAAAAGGAAGATTTCAACAGCAATGCTACTTCTCTACATATATATTTATACATTTTTAACTACAATATTAAATAAGAAATGTGCCTACCTTTTAATGTAAACATGGAAATAAGAGCATGGGCAAAGAAAACCTTGTTATCTTTCAACATATTACATGGTACATAAGACCTTGACAGCTAGTTTTGTATATAGACCTTTTTTTAATTGACTGTTAACTCTCTCATATGAATAGCTCATGTAAGAGAAGGAGGTAGGAACATTATGAGAACTCTGCAGAGTAATCTATAGACATCACTTTGAAAATCTTCTTGCAGTGAACCAGGGGCTAAGTTCTTCTTGCTGTCACTTCTGTGCAGCTCCAACGTGCAATTTGCTCTCACTCCACACATGGGGCTTCTCCTGATGTTAATGGCAGTTTAGCTGGGGATGCCTGAACTATTTTATAGCACTCTGCGGCATGGGTGGGAAGAGCAGAACTCAAGCTGATTGCTCCTTTGGTCGACTTGCCAAGGTCCTCTGCTTATGCAACACAGATTTGGGAAGAAGTGCAAACCCTGCACAGAAGCTTTTGCATGCAACTTCATCCTCCCCATATTCAAAATTATTCAGGAGTGGAACAAGAAGCAAATTTTCCTCTGATCCCTATAAGCATATATAGAGGCTCGTGCCAATATGTCCCAAATGGATGGGCTTGCACTGTGGTGAGGACTTACTTGGGGGTCAGGAGTAATCCTGTCCACTTAGCTGTGCACAGGGGGAACAGCTCATTCAGAAATGGATGAAGGCCAGGAGGTTTAAGGAAGTGTGTGTTTTATGCTGGCTTTTATTTTGGGGATTGCCAACACAACACTGCAAAAATTGCTTTTCTTTTGGCCACTGAGAAATGTTAAACACAGAGGTATTCCATAAGATATCAATATAAAGGTCACTTTTGCTCAGGGACTGCAGTAGCAGATCGGGCCAGAGGTCCACCAGCAGGGTCTGGAATCAGCACAAGCACCTCTGGGCCAACCTTGGCCTATGTACTACGGACAGCGGGTAGCACAAGCTGGGGGAGAAATGTCAGGATGAATACGCTTTGCAACTGAAAAATACTGAAGAGAATTTTTAGAGTATTTTTAAAATTAAATGTAAATATATATATTTTTTCAAGGCCAAGAGGCAAGGCTGAAAAATGGTATTCATTAGGAAACATGGGCCTGACCATAAAAACTTCAAATGAACTAAGCATTTTTCCAATTACAATGAAGAACCTGAATGACTAAGATCATCCATAATACGCTAAATAGGAGCAGTGTTACTGAAAGCCACAAAAGAGTAAAACAATTTTAGGTTGCTAGAGTTCATAACCAGGACACTGCCTGGTGCCTACATTGTATTGACTGAATTTATATTCCCCAGAGCAAAGCGAAATAGCAGTAGGAAATAACCGTACACGACATTTTTGTTCCATTTTGGCCAGGACCTCACACAGGAGAGCCCTAGTTCACATCTTGCCCTGCGGATGCTGTCACACTACAAATAAGTCATAACTAGCTGCAATTACAATAGGGCAGGTAAAAGTGTGCAGTTACAAGAGGAGCTTTGAATATATATTTGTAATGTTGTCGGTAAAAGCAGCACCACACAGAGAAAAGCGAAATGGGATGATGCGGAGCTGCTTGGTACAAGCAAACATCCCATCCAGGAGCATGAGTTTATTCCACTAGATGGCACCCAGCATCAGCAGCAGCTTCTTTTGGGGAAAGGCAGGAGAAAATGGGTGGCACACGGGAAAGCTGATGAGCCGAACCCAAACATCGCCCTGCACCTCCAGGTCCTCATCTCTGGGGAAGCAAAACTGCAGAGCATAGCGTGCCCCCTGTGAAAACCCCAAAGCAGCTCCATAACCATGGCCATCAAATCCAAATGTGGCCAAGATCCATAGAAGTTTCACCCCTGAATCTTCAGCAAAAGTTGCAAGAAGGCTGAAACAACAACAACAACAAAAAAAAAAATTTGGGGTAGGTGGGGATTGGTGGGTGAGTGGGATTTAAATCCACACAGTCCCTGAAGGGATATTCACTCTCTTTTACCTCTGTCTTATTTTCTATTTTATACAGGAGCCGGTGGGTTTATCTCAGCAGCAGATGCTCACCAGCCCGGAGAGGGCAAACCTGCTCCTCTCCTGCTCATTTGTGGACTTCGCTTCCTCAGGAGCTCGCATGGAGCCACAGCACCACAACACTAGAAACACTGCTGGCCAACGTGTGTAGTAAAGACACCCTCAGAGTGCCTCCTCAAACCTATGGAAAGCTCTGAGCAAAGTCTCAAAATTGGTGCTATGAGGCTGTCTTGACCTTACACATAGTCCGTGTCTGCAGGACCCAGCATAGAAAAAAACAGAAATTTCCCTTTAAAAATCAATTTGTGAAGGCAGATGAATTTAAAGTGAGGCCACAGATGAGATTAATTGGCTTCCATATGAGTCAGCTTCTGCAGGAGGTGGTAAGGCCATGAGTGGGTATGAAGTCTCACCCACCTGATCCTCCTGACAAGCCAATGACAAGGAGGAGGGTAGAGAAAATCCAGGGAGCCTCACGCTGACACAACCTGTTTCCTGGAGTGAAGGTCTAGTGAGAGGGGCTGATGTTATGGGGTCAGATCATGTTTCCCAGCAAAGAGTCATGTCGATCCACAGCCCTGTTCAACCCCCCTCCCATAGGAATATGAGAGGAGGAGATTTTCCTGCCTTCTTCCAAGGGGCTCTCCTGCCAGCCCAGCTGATTCCTTCTATATCACCTGTTGCATCTGCCTCTTTCTTTATGCACTATCCTAAATTAAGTGTGGAAAATCCAAAGAAATGATAAAGTCTCATGCTCTGGGCAAAAGTTAATGAGTTACTACTAAAACATACAACAACTGCACAGGTGGCACAGCTGTGTGCCTCCAGGCACCACCTCCCTTTCCAGAGCTCCACATCATCCCCAATACTTCCCATCTAACAACTAACAAGCTAATTTCAGCAAGTTACCCGAAACAAAAAACAAGCAAACAATCAACAAACACTCCCCCAGGCAAAACAAAACAAAAGCAACAAAACAAGACCAGATCAAGGTGAGGAAAGAAAGATATTGACATCTAGAGTCTGTCACACTGAGACATCAGTGCACTGGCATGGATGATGCTGGGAAGTTTTATAACTATTCCAGCTATGTATGGGAATACCTTATCATAGAGCTCATGATTTTTTGAGGTGGGTCAATGACAAGACACAGACTGTAGGAAAGCAGGCTTCATGAGCTCCAGGGCTCACGGATTTAAAAATGTATGAATGTGTCTGCTATAGAATTTTTGTATGAAATACTGTTTCCTGTTTGTTAGGTGGATATCAAAGAAAGTTACTTCAGTATTTTTTAAAAAATACTTGAGGGGTTAATTGTGCTTAGAATTATCCCTGAAGAACATCTGAACATCAGTAGCATCAGTAAGAATGTAACTAGGAAAAAAAATCTCAGAAATGGGTTCATATGTTGTTAATCCTTCTGCATTGTTTAACCCATTGGTTATTGCACCAAAGAAGCTGGACTGGAAAGATGCCACAGCCCTCAAAGTCAGGTGTTGCAGTGGTATTTTTGCCCTTAAATATATTCTGGTATTAAATGCTGCTGAGGTGGTATTTGCCTACTCTTGGTGATCCTGCTTGAGCAGGGGTTTTGGATCTCCAGAGGCTCTTCCTGGCCTCATCCATTCTCTGTGTGATTCCGTATTGTGGGAGAATCATAGAATGCTTAGGATTGGAAGGGACCTCTAGAGGTCATCTAGTCCAACCCCCCTGCACACACAGGGTCACCTAGAGCACGTGGCACAGGACTGCGTCCAAGCGGCTTTTGAAGATCTCCAGAGAAGGAGACTCCACAACCTCTCTGGGCAGCCTGTTCCAGTGCTCTGTCACCCTCACTGTTAAGAAATTTTTCCTTAAGTTCCTGTGGAACTTTTGATGCTTCAGTTTGCAGCCATTTCCTCTAGTTCTGTCAGTGGCCACCAGTGAAAAGAGACCATCACCGTCCTCTGCACTCCCTCCCTTGAGGTATTTATATACACTGATTAGATCCCCTCTCAGCCTTCTCTTCTCCACGCTGAACAGGCCCAGCTCCCTCAGCCTCTCCTCGTAGGGCAGATGTTCCAGGCCCCTGATCATCCTTGTGGCCCTGCGCTGGACTCTCTCCAGCAGCTCCACATCCCTCTTGTACTCTCTTGATGAGAGAAAGCATGTGTATAACGAAACAAGAAAGGTTCAGACTGGATATAAGGAGAAACGTCTTCCCCATGAGGGGAAACAAACAGTGGCACGAGTTGCCCAGAGAGGTTGTGCAGTCTCCATCAGTGGAGATTTTCAAAACTAGGCTGGATAAAGCCCTGAGTAACCTGCTTCATAGGTGACCTTGCTTTGAGCAGGAGGTTGGACTCCCAGGGATCTTCTCTGGTCTGAACTATCCTAAGAACCTATCATTACCTTGTAGGTATTTTAAAAACTTTGTAGGAGCCAAAGTATCTGCTACCTGTTTTTTTTTTTTTCCATAATTTATAAGTGAGTTAGTATAGGGAACCCAGAAATTGTGTGTTTTAGAACCAGAGCCAGGTAGAAAGTTCTACAGAGATGACAGAGCTGAACTTTTGTTATATATTTTCTCTAATTGCCATTTCTACAGTTATCCCCAAGGTGATTTGCAGAAAACAAAGCCTGGCAAAAGCTTCTTGGTTTTTAGCTGTATTTTCTGCTGATAATGACTGGAGGAATTATCTGTGCAACTTGTGCATCGCCATCGATACTGCGTAAATGTCACTGTGAAACATTATGTATTATTAAATGGTTAAAATATGCCTTGTTGATATGCTGGAGTCACATTCCTGGCCAGCTGGTCAGTCATTAAAGTATATATATAAATAAATGTCTTTTAAAGGGTGAAACAGACAGAAGTAATGAGCTAAACCCTAGACAAACAACATAAATGAGGCTAGCTGCAGGGAAATGGGGTTAGAGCTGCAGAAGTTTACATGCAACATCACAGACACAGACTGAGAAAAGGGAATTTAAACTAGTTAAAGCTGTAAAAGAATCCCCTTAAGCTAATTAGTGCTTTAAATACCAAGCCTGTCTGAGGACTTTCAATGAACTGGGGGCCTTAAATGAAGAGCTGTTGTGCAACAGAAGTTTGTACTTATGATATGTTTACTTTTGTATTATATGTATTAAAAAGAGCTATGTAGTTCAGGTAAGACTGAAACACTATCCAAAGAGGTAACACTTGTAAAGTCTATCTGGCATCCTTGCTTGTCTACTTACCTCATATCCTCTAAAAAGATAAACTATTATCCAGAATGCTCTTGTCTTCAATATTAATATCAGTGCCTGCACCGAAGAAGCAACAGGATCCTGGGAACAGAGTACTGGTCTATTTCCTTTCAGATGGGATATTGGACAGGATGCCCACATCATGGGGATCTGCTGGGAGATTCAACACTGCAAGGCAATGCCTTGATTCTGACCAAATTCAAGGGATTAAACCCCCCTGTACAGCTTCCCTGACAGGCCTCTGGTGAGTATCCGAAAGAGGCTCTGAGCTAGATGCCAACACAGCTATATATTCTAGCCAAAAACTTGAAAACTGGAAAATGAATTTCATGTAGCATGACACTCTAGGGAAGCTGAGTACTTCTGTTTCCAGGCAAAGTCATCTTTTGTGCAACACACAGCACAGAGGATGCTGCAGCTGAATGCCAGACCACTGCAAAGGGCTGTCACAGGAAAACCATTTGCCACGATACACATTATTTTGCAGCATCCTAATGACTGTATTTTAAAATGAAGACATTGAATAATTGCTTACCCATGAGGTATTTTGCTGAGGACATAATACGCTGTATATGAATGCTGATACACCTGCAAAATGAAATTAACAGGAAAAAAAAAAGAGAGAAAGAAAAAGAAGAGATTAGTAATGGTCACCTGTGTTAGCAGGCTCTTTTTCTCTGCAAAAAAATCTAGCATTTATGGCTAGGGATCTCTTAGAAACACCTCACTCTGTAGTAGAAAAGAACAATACATTAATTCACTCAACATGGTTGTGTATTCTTTTCATCCTGCACTTTATGACAGTGTTTGGCAATTCGTATACATCCAGATGCTCTGTGTCGTTGCCATGGCTACCAGGTCTTTGATTAAACTGGGGGCACATGCTCTCTGCAACAGCTAAATATAGCAGAGTCATTAACGAGGACACCTTGGTCAGCTGGAGACATTCTCCATCATTATCACCAGGCACAGCAGGGATATAACGCATATTCCTCCGCTTTACTCCTGCATAAATAAAACAAGCACTGACATGGGGTGAACTCAGAGCAGATGGTAACACCTGGGTCAGCCAGCAAATGAAACCTCATTGACTTGGGCCACAAAGCTGACCTGAAGTTTGCTTGACCTGGTAAATTGCCAAGATGCATCTTCGTATCAGTTTGCACCCCTTGTGACTTGGGGAGGAGCTCAGCAGCTTTCATGGGAGGTCATCTCAGAAGGGAGAGACTATTTATTTGCTAAACAAGGCCAGTTATTTAAGGCTTTTTGGACTGATTTTCTTTTAGGGACAAAACCTTCCTGAGCTACAGGAACCTGTGGCTAACAAGGTGGGCAATGCTTAGCAATGCTGGAATCAGGGCACTAGTGTGAGGATTTAGATATGAATTTGTGCTTGATTCTTCCACTCACTTCTTCAATTCTGTCCTATTATTGTAAGCTACTGCATATATACTGCATTAAGCTACTGCATATATATATATATATATATATATATATATATATTTATGATAATCATTCCATTTGACATGTATTTAAAATTTTAAGTCACTTGGTCTCCAGTATCATTCATAAAGCATTCTGTCCTAGGGAACGAGGACTAGCTTCATAAATCAAGTTTGTTTATCATAAATATTCTTTCTAGTACCTCTGTTTTTGTACAAGACTTTTTTTTTTTTTTTTTTTGAAAATTCATAGAAACCACAAAATGCCATGGAAATTACTGTAAGCTTCTGTGGTGACAGCACTATCATCACAGGGTATGTAGACTTGACTTTATGTAAGTCAGTCTCAAGGACAAGCCTGCATAGCTGTGGTATAACAGCCTTGCATCTTGTTTGGGCTCAGTGGAGAGAGAGAGGAACATGGGATACATCATCTAGTAGATATATTAAAACAAACTTTTCTGCTACAATTCAAATTCAAACATTAGATCTTTACAATACAGCATAACAACCCTTGAAAAGAGCTACACCGGAGTATGGAAGTGAATGTACCATTTTTTTTTCTTTAAAAAGCAGAGACTGATGTTACTCTGTCCTTGCCATGTGCAATTTCTTTATTCCATTGTAAAGACAAACATCAGCAAGTTATGTCCCAAAAATCACACGCTATTTCTAGGCACTCAAATACATAATGTAACTCCTGGCTAGGCCATTCTCTGATGAAGAAGTATATCTGGGAAGGTGTACAAGCCACAAGTAAATCAATAAAAGATGGCATTTATTTTTGTTCTTTATAGGTCTACCTGTTTCAGACGATGCCAAATAAATCACTATTATCTTATATACATCCAATTATACCAAAGATATAAAGCGCACTTTAAGGTTATAACACTAATATTAGAGATCTGACTGAAGCTCGTGGCCTTTGGCTGTGTTCCTGGATTGCTGAAACCTTAAAACTGCTAAAATTAATTAAAGAGAAGGCATTGAAAGACTGAATTTGTCAATAAAGCAAAAAGGCCACACAGGGCAGTGTGTAAAATATTGGCATGGTGTGTCTGCAAACCATTTTTGCAAAGTCCCAAGCAGTTTTATATGTACTGGAAGTAAGACTTGTATTAATTGATTTTTTTCTTTATATTTAGTAACACAATAACAAAATTATTGAGCAGCTTTTGTCTTCAAAACATCTTGGTAGTAAGATGTAGAAAATGATATAAATATATAAAATGTGTCAAGATGACAAGCCATGCTGTGTAGTCTGCTACCAGGGGCAGAAGCCAGACTAAAACATCAGTGTGAGCAGAGGGCTTCATGAGAAGACAGAGCAACATGGCAAGCTGCAGAAGGAAAAATTAGCCAGGGGATGTTTTAAGGACATATGCTGATGTCCCCTCCTCTGTGATAGAGTCCCCTCAGCCCTGCTACTGAAGTTGAGAGATGGGCAAGAACAAGTAACAGAGGTTGAGGTAAAACAGTTTCCCTTGGAAAAAGATAATTTAGGAGTGCGGAAAACAAAAGTTGAAGGTATTTCAAAGGGTGGCAGTAGGAGCAGAGTCCTAACAGTTGTCATCTGAAGATCAGAGAGGCCTAAGCAGCCAAGCCTGCTCTTCCTGTGAGATCTCCTTTATTATCTGAACATCACTAGTCATCTCCTTTTGGTCTTTGGCCAGACCTTGTGGAAATGCAATTTAAAGGAGAGATCAGTCTCTTCCCCTTACATCAAGTATTAGGACTCTGAAATATTTCACATTAACTGTGCATCTACCATGTAGTCTTTAAAGGCTTGTAGCTGGCAGAATTCATTTACAGGAGCAATACTTTCTCAAATAAATCCTTAAAATTAATAGGTTTGTTCATGTAAATACTGTAAACATTTCAGAATCAGATGTTAATTATTATTTTAGTTCTTAAAGATAAGAACCTACGCAACCCAAATTTAATTTTCATTCCTATTTCAAACATGTTTGGAAAACACCCTGCTAGTAAACCCTCTAAACAAACAGAGGTACAAGAGAAACATCACTTAGTGTCTTTTTGAAAACAAAAATGGCTGTATTCCTCTTAGAAATGCAAACCAAATCAAATTATTCTAGAATTTCAGGAAATTAATACATCTGTTTAATATCTCAATAAAAATTTCTGATGGGTTCAAGTTGAATTAGAATATTCGTCTTATTTACCAGTTAAAAAAAACCCAGGGAAATAAAAACAGGATAGAGGAGGACAGGGAGACTAGCATACTTCTGAAATCCAAAGAAGTCTTAGAATTCTTGAGAAGTTAATCCTCATTTTAAGCTCTCTGTTTCTGATGTCTTTATCAATAAAATTCTCCGTACTTCCCCTATCCATTCAAGAGGTGAAGTAAAAGCAGTTGCCTGGGTTTCATATTCTTAGCCTTGATTTTTGTCTGAAACCTGGAGCGCAGCACTCCTCTCAGGAGAGAGGCATATTCAAAAGTAGCAGAGCTTTTGTCAGTATTGTCCTGTACTGTAAACATACATTAAAATGGACTTAAGACTGCTGGCTTCCTAGCTATTATCAAAACACTAGGTATCTAGGTTCTAGGTATTATCAAAATCAGGTCACAAAAACTCCCGTGCTAGCTGTGATCAATGAATGCTGAAAAAGTCAATATCCTGAAATTACTGTGCCAGAATCGCACTCCCACTGGGCTTTTCATCCCAGGTCAGGGCAAAGATCCTGCCTACTTTTAATCTACATTATCCTCTGCAGCATGTGCATGTTTTGCTGGGAATGAAATCATAAAGGGTGTTAAGAGGCAGATCTATCCATTTTCACTCATGTCTAGGAAAGGCAATTATCTCTTCCCAGCTGAGAAAAGTACGGAACTGATTCTATATGGAAACACTTTTCTGTGAAGCTCCTGACCTTGTTTTATGCTATCAACAAAAGAAACCTGGAACTAACCTCATAATCCTGGGATTACAAATGATCTCGAGCAGATAGCAATAGAGCAGAGTTTCTCCCACTCTAATTTCCATAATAAGGAGGAAATTCAGCTTCCTATGAACTACAGAAACAGACTGGAAGATGCAGTTTCTGTGCCACATTTCCAGTCTACTGGAAAGCACTTCTGACACCTCTAAGGAGACAGGCTCTAGTCCTGTAAGACTAGCTTAAATAGCAAGTATATGTTATTTAAGAAGAAGGGAATGAGTTTGGACCCATTTGCTCATTGTGACTATTCAAATAAATTAAATTGGTGTTTAAACTGAATTAAAGCTCATAGATCTTGTTCATGCCCCAGGCTGCAGCTTTGTCCTGGCAATAAGCATGCTGTTATCTAATGACAGCATGAACAGGGGGAAAAAAAACAAGTTCACCAGAAAAAATCACCAAAAAAAGTCTAGCTAGAGGTTACATTTCCTTCTACTACATGCACATACAATGCGGAACAAAAGATGACCCACAGCCACAGCTACATTGTCACATTCACTTGTGTATTGGTCAGTCACCAAGAGGCAAGCACTGTATTATTTTTACAGGGTAACAGATGTCATTCTTATAATCTTCTAGCAGAGGAAAGAATAACTGTCTCACTAAAAATAGCTCACTGACATACTTACTTATGATCATCTTTGGAGAATTTAAAGTGGTTTGTTGTACCTATATGGAAGATTTTTTACAGAAGTTAACATCAAAGGTTAACTTTTCAGTTAACAAGTCAGCATCAGTTGCCTTGATTAAAATTCTATATGATCCCATTGCTTGAACAATCTGAAAACTGACACAGAATTTGAACCACTCCAATCTCATACCCTTTTCTTCCCATTATGTGTTGAACTGTCCTTCAGAGCAGATGGAAAATCCTGTTCTATAACTGAACACTAACTTTTTGGCAACCCTTTTGCTCAACTTCTAATCTTTCAGTTATATATATGTGTAAAATTTATTTTTTCATATTCAATAATATTACAGTGTTCATTTTTTCTTCATTCACTTATATACTTCTGATTTAAAATAGTAGTTGTTGTCTCAGCTTGAGGAATTATTCATGGCCAGTTAGATCTCTTCATTTCTTCTTTTAGTATTGACATTGGTTGGCAGTAGTCGCTCTACCCTAACTATTTTAGCAAAGTATTAGCACAATTTTTTTCCTAATATGCATTCCCTAGTAGCAAA